GCAGATAACTTTTCAAGTGATCTACTCAGGTGAGGACCAAGAGATGGACCAAGTCATACACAGAAGAGGCTCCCATTCGTTTTCCTGCCTGCCTTAATCACATCCATTCTGTTACAGTAGTGTCTTTGTCAAGCTGCAAGGTGACCTCGTATTTCTTGAGAATCCTGCAAACTGTTGTGTTTCTGAAACTGTGGAGTACTTGCTTTCTTGAGGCCATGTTGAAGGATCAAATACTAAGAAATGATTGCATGACTTGAGGAAGTCGTATCTGATTTACCCCCGGGTAACTTTGCTTGTGTCTGTCAGCAAGAGCATTAGAAACAGTGTGTGCCCTATAGTGGCCTATCACTATCAAGCAGAAGGATAAACTGTCCAATGGCCACGATGAGTTCATCCTTACATTCTCCAATGATCCGCTTTTCCCTCTGAAACCTAATGGTTGTGGTCTTTAAAATGCTGCCAATGTTAAGCATGTATGCTACAAATCACTGTTGTCACTCGTAGCCAGTTGCATTTTAATGGCTAACAATTGATAATATTTTTAACAGTTTCATGCGTCCATGCAGGCCACCTGATATTATGAAACTCGCCCAGTTTCACAAAGGGGATCCCATTTTTGTCACGCAGCTTCTTCAGTGCAGTTTTGTATTTTGCTCCACCTTTTTGCATAAAAACTGCAGCAGTTTGACCACAGAGCGATTAAATGTCTCTCAGTAAGGAACGTTGTGTTCAGCTGATTCTAAGCAATTTTCCAGTATGTACAACTGCAGCAAGTTGCCAGAGTTTTAGCACGACGCTGTTGTACATACCCATGTTGACAGCAGCCCCGTCTGTGCACACAACGACCAACTTTGTTGTCCAGTCATCCAAGCCTGTGTCCTGGAAAAGTCTCACAAATCATCTGTTATGGCCTGTGTCTTTTGGTCAGCCACGAGTGCAGTCAGTCCAAGAAAGTCTCCGTTGTTGGACACGGACACAATGTAAACAATTTCCTTCTCGTTTTTTGTGATGTCCTCAGATCCAAATTCAGCAGACTCCAATTTGGCTCATAACTCCCCGCTGATGGTGTGAGCAATGCTCTGCATGATCTGTGTGCCCCCTTCAAGTGAATGACATGCACGTCTGACGTTTACACCTAGCTGCCTCAATAAAGAAGGATATGAAGACATGGGATGTGTGTGTTAAACTTTGTGGAAGCGAGGAGAAAAATATTAAACAGGGCTTACCTCTGTTCGTCATTTCGCTTGTCTTGCCGTCTGTTAAGGGGGCAACTGCACATATCTTCTCGGATGGCTTGTTTATTAGCAATGACTAACATTCATGTGCTCCTTGCCCTTTTCACATTTGTCAAATAAAGGATGGTTACAATTCTTTGGGCCTTTAAAAATGCACCTGATTTGTCTCTTAGATGTAGATGAGAGAGGCAAATCTTTCACCACATTTTAGTGCACAGTGGCAACTTTTCTGAAAAAGTATTTTCTTCAGCACTGGCTCTGGTTAGCATTTCTTAGCTGGTGGCGAGACACCAAAGAAGCTACTTATTGTCTGTTGTTTTTTGGACATTTAGGTGGTGACAAGCAAAATGTGTAAGGTTAAATGACATTGTCAAGTACGCCAAAGGCACTTGGTAACACAAGTGTCACTATGCTTTCTTAATTTTTGTCACACATGCGTACCAGTTATCTGCACCCCTGGTAATGAGTCAGACTCGTTTCTGGTAGATGTTGGACTAAACCAGGGCTGCCCTTTGTCACCGAGTCTGTTCAGAATTATTATGGATACAATTTAAAAGCATAGCCAGCTGGCTTAAGGCCTCCACTTTGGTCGCTTCAGAATCTCACTTTTTGCAGATAATGGGGTTCTGTTGGCTTAATCAGATGGTGGCCTCCAGCTGTCACTGGAGTGGGTCGCAACCAAATGTGAAATTGTGAGAATGAAAATTAGTACCTCCAAATCTGGGGGCCATGGTCCTCAGCCTGAGTGAGCACAAGTTATTGGCCCAAGTGGAAGAGTTCATACATATATCATGGTCTTGTTCATGAGGGAAGCGAGAGATTGACAGATTGGGAGACTAAAGAAATGCAGAACGTACAGTAAAACAGTCATTCTATGTCCCTCCCTCACCTATGGTCACGAGCTCTGGGTACTGACAAAAAAGATGAGATTGCGAATAAAAGCAAGCAGAAATAAGTTTTCTCCATAGGGTCACTGACCTCTCTCCTAGAGATAGGGTGAGGAGTTTTGCCATCCAGGAGGGGCTTAGTATAGAGTCGCTGCTACTCCTCCACATCAAAAGGAGCTGGGCATGACCCACCAGAATGAGGTCTTGGGGCAGACCCAGGACACACTGGAGAGATGACATCTCACAGCTGGCTTGAGGATGCCTTAGTGTTCCCCTGGATAAGAAGAATTGCTGTCTGCATAGACAGTGATTAGGCATGTGATTTTCAATGATATATCACAGTTAATTGTCAACTTGATGCCATTCAATCACAGACTGATAGAAGACAGACTTTGTCTGGCAGAATTTATAACAGCTTTTAGTAACAGTGTTGGTAATCTTGGCAATCTCATTTTGCTGAAAGAAAATAATAATAATAATAATAATAATAATAATAATAATAATAGCTGTAGTGAGAGGAGTTTATTTGGAATAAAACGGATACTGAAAAGGTTTGAGAACATACATCGCAGTTGAAAAACTGTTAAACTGCAATACATGTTATTGCAATATCCAATATTCATGTTGCAAAAAGTAAATAAAAATAGCATTATGAAGCCTGTGGTCATTCTCACCTCTACTTAGCAGGATACAATTGTACCCACACATCCGCGTTCATTTAACAGAAAACACACCAGCATCTTTATATTTCATATACAGCATCACAGACATCCACGAAGCTGATCTTTGAAGGGTGTAAAACTAAAAAACAATTTGAATCGGTGCATTCACTTTAAGTTTCACTGCTCTATATTAGCCACATGTTCAGTATGTAGAGTTCTCCTAATGGTTCAGCTTATAATATATCTTCTCAAATTTTTGTTTTTCTACTATTTTTTTTCTTCATTTGTCCATTCAGACCTCCAACAGCAGCATGTCTGTGATGAGGAGAAGGTTGTCAGAGGTCAGCAGGTCTGTAACCAGGAGAGGAACTCTAGTCTGGACCAAGACGACCCAGAGCCTCCACAGATTAAAGATGAACACGAGGAACTCTGCAGCAGTCAGGAAGGACAGCAGCTTGGACTGAAGCAGGAGGCTGATGCCTTCATGGACACTCTTGTTTATCAGGAAAGTTACCACAGTGAACTGGAATCAAACAGTGGGCAGCTCCTTTCTCACAGCTCTCCTGAAGTAGAAAGCAAGCATGTAGTCTCAGGATCAGCTAGAAATATAGCGCTAAAGAGGAGGAGACGTCTCAGACTTGCTGACACAAGGGAAAAGTCTCTAAAATGTGACACATGTGGAAAAGCATTTCACTTCCAATCCCACCTGAGTGCACATCTTAGAGTTCACACAGGTGAGAAACCGTATTCTTGTAGCACCTGTGGGAAAAGATTCAGCCACAAATCAGCATTGGATAATCATTTAAGACGTTACACAGGCGAGAAGCCATATCTTTGTATCACTTGCGGGAAAAGATTTGTTCAGAAGTCTCATTTGGAGCGTCATGTGAGAATTCATACAGGTGAAAAGCCGTATCCTTGTATCACCTGTGGGAAAAGATTTAATCAGAATTCAGAGCTGCAACGTCATGTAAGAATTCACACAGGTGAGAAGCCGTATTTTTGTAAAACTTGTGGGAAAAGATTTGCTGACTCATCAGGACTCATAAAACACATGAGATTTCACACAGGTGAGAAACCATTTTCTTGTGGGATCTGTGGAAAAAGTTTTAGTCAGAAATCAGCATTGGAAACTCATGTAAGAACTCACACAGGCGAGAAGCCGTATTCTTGTAGCACTTGTGGGAAAAAATTCAATCAGAAATCAGGAATGAAGTCTCATGCAAGAATTCACACAGGTGAGAAACCACATTGCTGTAGCAGGTGTGGGAAAACCTTTAGCCAGGGGACACACTTAAAGAAGCACATGAGAATTCATACTGATTAAAAGTTTAAAGCTTAGAACATGTGGGACAGCTGTTAGTCATAATAGAGTGTTGGTTGTCGAGCTCACACTGAGCAGAAGTCAAACCACTGCAACACCTGAGTGAAAAGATGAATCATATTCAGGTCAGTATTATGTGGGTTCTATTCCAGGAAGCAGGTTTAACTAACAACTGCAAGTTTGCTAATCCTAACATGAGGGAGAGAAAGAGAGTTAACTTTAACTCGGTGTCACTCACCAGGTTAAGAAACTCTTTGAACCTAACAGATTTCAGCAGATTTTCTTAAACAAACTATGAATTTGTGTAAGAAACAAGTCACTCCTCCCATTTGCTGCACCTGAACCTGCCAACTGACACTCCAGTTAATTTCCTCTTTCATAATGTTCTTAACAATGCACATTAATCTGCTGGAAGTTTGTTCTTACAAATTCTCAGTTAGATGTTGCTTTGTAACTTTGTTTTTTTGGGATTGATTTTATAATCATGCAGTGAAAAATGTCATGATTGGGACAGCGATTCTTGCAGATTTATTAAGAGCTGAGAATAAGAGCATATAGTAGCATATACTAATTTAGTTTCCGTATTTCCAACTCTGACTTAGCAGGGCCAACTTTGAGTACATTATTGTATTTTTGTAGTACGTCATTGTCCTCTTTAAAGTTTTAGACCCATAGAGCACAGGATTAGCTATACTTTAAAGTCAGGTTTGAAATGCACACAGTAGACTGTCTGTGTTTTGAACATTTCATTTTGAAATTTCACAGACTCACAGGACTCAGTCATATAATAATCTCAAACAATGTTTTGAAAGGTAAATTAAGGTAATTTTAAAGGTAAGGTCAATTTAAAGGTAAGGTAGATTTAAAGTCTGTGACTTTAAATGAAACACATTTTTCATTCACACTAACCCAAATCCATCTCACTGGGGTATCATATAGCCCTTTTTCACTAGTACCCACTCTGCTCGACTCGACTTGGTTTCAGTGTTTTTTCCATTACGCTGGAGTACCACCTACTCTGGGTGGGGTCGTTATAGCAATGTGGCCTAAATTCCCGTGACGGCGTTTGTAAATGACACAACAAAAGGAGGATGTTAAGATGATGGTATACCTGCTACCTGGTCACCACAAAAATTACACTAAAAACGAGCGTATAACGTTTGCCTCTACTGTTTTGTTTTATGGAAATCTCAATAGAAAAAAAGAAGTTGCTACAGCCCATCAATGCATGAAATACTGGCTTGAAATGTTTGATTTCATTAAAAAATGAAATTGTCAAACTGTGGCAAAAACATCTTTTGTAATTTAATAAAATGACTTGACTCTGTGTGCTGCTATCTGATGCTACGTCCATCAGTAAACTGTGTCTGATCTGTTTATCTCGATTTTTATCTTCAGTTTCTGTCATTTTGCTGCTATCGGGTTACCCCTGAATAGATTTCAAATTCAACTTCAGATCATTTTAATGTAATACATGTTAATTCATGGGTAAATAATGACCATGGGAGGTATAAGAAGTTGTAGCTATACATTACACGAAGTTTCATAATATCCGATGATGATGACAGAATAGACCAAGAAAATGATTTTCTCCTCTCCTGTTATTTTAAAATAACTATCATGATCAGTGCTGACACGTGTTGGTATTTTTCAAACTACTCCATCAAAATGGAGGTTCAGCTCTTAATTTACTCATGGTGATTTATGGTATCTGAGCTCCATACCTTTCTTTCTCTTCTCACACACACTCTTAACTCAGAGTTGATTGAACTTTGATCAACTGTTCGGGAACAGGAAACTCAGGCTTACAGAGTTAATCATCTCAGAGTTTGTTTTTTAAACTCAGAGTTTATTGGACATGCTTCCTGGAACAGGGCATTGACCAGGGAAGAACTCTCAGCATTAATTCTTACAACTGTATCAGAGAAACCCTGATCTTACATTTCATGATGGTTGAAGTAAATTTTATGTCTTAATTCAAATGTTTTTCCTTGTTTCTTTAATGTTGTTTTATATAAATCTAGAAACTTGTGTTTTAACTTTGTACCCTAGTCCAGTGGTTCCCAAACTTTTTTTGCTAGGCCCCCCTTTGTTATACAAGAAAAATGCCGCCCCCGGCGCGCGCACACACACTAACACATCCTCCAACCACGCACACCCATATTCTGCTTCATTGCGGTTTATTTCACACCTCAAACATTTAGCAAACAATTGAGCAAATACAAGTAATCTGCAAAAAATTACAGGTAGTAAGAAAACAAACTACTAACTCTTTTACGCTACTTTCGCACCTACTTTTGAAAACACAGCTGTTTCATCCACGCGTAAACGCGTTTCGAATCACCGAAAACTGAGATTTTTAAAACTCCTCTTTTGCGTTTATGTGTGGACGAGGAATACAGAGTTCATCACACAACCTCAAAGGGATGTGCCTTTTGTCACATCACGCTGTGCGCCACGTTATTGTTTACATGAGATGAATTGCAGATAGTCGGATTAATTAACTAATTTTGTCTGTGTCTTCAGGTTTTACACACTTACATACACACACACGCAGTTACTGTCCCTCTATTTACAAAGGTAGAGGCATCACAGTGTAATTATTTTACCCTCAACATTGCTATCAATACATTTTTCAAAAATGCCTCTCTGTGCAAAATGGGTTTAAAAACATAAACAGCTGTGGGATACTGTTTGTCCGTGATTTAGACAGGGGGAACAAATTGTGGCAGGATCAGCCTGATGTTATTTGTATCCCACTGTAACTTTACTGTATAAAGAGCTAACATCTCCAAAATGTCAGGAGTAGTTAGTCATTACGACAAGTGTTTGTGAACTAAAAATCAAGAATGTGGGATACTGTTTGTCCGTGATTTGAAGAGCCCAGCGCTGCTCCCGACGCAGGGAAAAGCAGTTATGCAGGGGAGACCTACCTCGGCACTTGTGCAGGTGAAGCCAAAGGGAAGATATGCTTCATTATATTTTCTAGTCTTTGGCTTAGAATGAAGTTGGTTTGGAAACATATTCAGCTATGCTTCATCTCCTGCTTTGCGTTTGTGTAGGCGCCCCATGATAGCAGTGTCCAAGCATTGTTGTCGTTGTGTTTTTTCCTTTTCATACCACGCCCCCTCCTGCAATGGCTCTCTGCCCTCCCTAGGGGGTGGGCCCCACACTTTGGGAAGGTCTGCCCTAGTCTATATTATGGTTCTCTTTTACTTTCCTCTTATTCTTTTTTTTGTATGGAAATAAAAAAAATATTGCCTTGTGTAACACGATTCTGTGATATGATCTTCTAGTAGAAAGACTTGACCCTCTATTTAGGAACCTGCTGAAAATGTACAGGTGCACTCTCAAAGTACATTTACAATTGTGCAATAATAACAGAGCAGAATTTATTTATTTTTTATTATGTGTCACCACACATAAGTGTAGTTATATTACAATAATGTTTGTATTATGAGTGAGGTGAAAAATTATCTCCACAATCTCATCTTTGCAGTTTGTTGAAGCATTGAAGCTCCTTTCCTCAGTATTTAGAGAATTCCAACTCGAGCTCTTATTATGGCTGCTGTGTAGATACCTCAGGGTCAGCTCTTCATCAGCAAAACACAAAACGAACTATTACAACATAACCTCAGGGTTGCATGGATCAGCTCCACAGTATATCACAGTTGTATTAACTCAATATTTCTGTCTCTGAGGTCATAGTCCAACAACTTCTCTCAGACCTCCTTTACCTGGAAACAAAAGGTGAGCAGACTTTCTTTGGTGTTGCTGCAGGGTACTCACTAACGCATGTACTGCGCTTGGTTTGACCATACATACAACTATCTAGTCCTGTCTTAAGTAACCAGCCTGATTAGCCAATGAGCCATAGGTAAATATGATCTAATGGGTGAGGAACCTGGAGGAATGCGGAGAAAGCACCTTGTTGGGTCTGTGTTTCCACAAACCCCGCTAATTCTAGAGACTTATTCATCATGAAGAAAACAAGACAGTCGATCGATCCATTACTTGCACAAGGGAGGCCTC